AACAGTCTTTTGAGAAGCAGACAGCAAGATAGGAGATGCTAATCGCTCAGGAGGGGAGTTGATAGAGATCATAACAGGTGAGCTCCCCCACTTTCTTCACGATTTAGGGCGCGGCCGCGGCAAAGTAGCGGCGTTCGCGGCCGAGTAGTGCGGCATCATCTTGCCTGAGTATTCGACGCTACATTACGTGTCGTTACGATCGAATGAACCAAACGTAACCTATAACGTTGAACACTCAGGCCAGCTGATGCCGCATACTCGGCGCGATGCTGGTTTGCCGCTCTCGCGCCCAAAATTCGGGAAGCAAGTGGGAGCTTAGGGTTAGCGATGCACCGTTGCCATTTCGAGTCGAAACTCTGCATTTACGGCATTTCACATAAGCAGGTGGCATTTTCAATTATTATCAGTGTCTGGATGGTGCTATCGTAGGTATACAGCTAGGGCGGAAGGTGTAGTGCCAGTTGGTGCGGTTACACGCGAGCGCTCGGGGACCTGGGTCGTGAGTCGCCGGGCCAACCAAGCCTTCCATCCCTCCGGGGTCGGTTAATTGGTAGAGACTTGTCTGGGAGGATAAAAACACTGACTTGTACATCGGCTGGCCCCCGCAAGTCATTGTATAGGCCACATCGCATTCAAACGCCACTACGAATGTACAAATGGAAGTAGAATGCGTGCCGCATCCCAAAAAGGGATTGATCAACGGCAAATGCTTTATCCTTTTTTTATTATCCTTCCACAATCCCAACGAAGCAGCGGAACATTGAATGCATGGAGCATTTATAAGGTCCTAATCAAAGCTTCATAGGATACTCGCGTCATTTACGCAATTATTGTGCGAGCATACAAATATTAAAATGACGGGAAGATCACGGTCTCCTTTCAGCGTTGGTCCCGCAGGGTTCGCTGGCTCAAAATTTTAGACCTCGTCCCAGGCCATAGACCCTGTCTGTGGAGGTTAGTCTGAATTTGTGCCCTCAAAAGTTGGATAACAGCCATGCGACGATGGTCGCAAAGGGTAATAGATGGGTCGAACTATGACTGAGAATGCAGTAGTGGGCGGAGCTAATCAAATTGCCGAAAATTGCACTGCGATTTCTTCTGCTCCGAGAGAGGAATTACTTTGGTACGAGTTTAGAATTCCTGTCAACCTTCATGACCATTAGATTTTGAAGAAAGGCAATGATTTCTCTTTATGATTCACTCCGTTCGTGTGGTATTCACCACGCAAACAGGTCCCGACGCTATTAACCTCTCTCAGTAGCGATTTTTTGGCCCATTGAATGTAAATGTTTGCCAGCAGTTCCGCATGCATTTACTCACAAATCGATGTCAAATTGGCCATATTGCCAGTTCCAACAATTCATTTTTTGACTTTGGTAATCACTGCCCTTCACTGTGCTCTACTCTTTTGAGACTGTAATGGCCGTGTGACCGACGTTCACGTCCTCGGCTTAGCTCATGGCTTCTGACTTCAATTAATTAGTGAATTTTTTCGTTACCGTATGCCCAACTAAATACCGTAATCTGGTTGCGAATGAATACTACAACTAAATAGACCATTTTCAGAGATCCAAGGATGGCGTCCGCTTTCCAAAAAAACCAATTCACCATCTTGGTGGTCATTGCTCAGGTCAGCCTTTTGAAGAGAATCGACCCTGTAGTGATTCTCAATCTATTTTTTTAAGGTCGTCTTCATGATTTTGTTTGGGCTGTTTGCCAAGTACTCTGTGGATGCTATGCCGGCGGCTCAGAGAGCAACGCCAACATGGCCATTCAGTACCCAAGTACGTTACCTGTTGCCGATTCACTTGATATGAAGCGCATTTTAAAAATTCAATTCTGCTGTGAATGTAAGAGTTTCAGTGTTCCAAGACACTCACGTGATGATCTTCATTGGCTTCGGGTTCTTGATGACGTTCTTGAAGGTAAGCACCAGTTCTGCCAGGGTCAATCCTACGTTGTTACTAGTAACAACGGGGGGGGTCGTACCTGGTTGAGTTTATAGGAGGGGGGGTCGTATCCGCTTCAGTCGCGTGAAATTACATGTGAGTTTGTGGTGAAAGTGGAGTTTTCACGAGTAGTAGGCTAGGTGAGTTGGGAGCGCACGAGAAAAATCAAAAAAGCGTTTTTATACCCCCGCTCGACGGCATTTTTGGAGGGAAAAGTGGGCGGAGTTTGGAGGGTTGA